GTTCTCCAGGTGCCCAGGTTCTCTAGGTGCCCAGGTCCTTCATATGTGTTGGTCTTCCAGATGCCCAGGTTCTCCAGGTACCCGGGTCCTCCAGGTCCCCAGGTCCTCCATGTGTGTGGGTCCTCCAGGTGCCCGGGTCCTCCAGGTGCCCAGGTCCTCCAGATGCCCAGGTCCTCCAGGTGCCCAGGTCCTCCATGTGTGTGGGTCCTCCAGGTGCTCAGGTCCTCCAGGTGCCCACATTCTCCATGTGTGTGGGTCCTCTAGATGCCCAGGTCCTCCGTGTGTGGGTCCTCTAGATGCCCAGGTCCTCCAGGTGTGTGGCTCCTCAAGGTGCCTGGGTCCTCCAGGTGCCCAGGTCCTCCAGATGCTCAGGTCCCAGAGGGTCCTAGGAGCTGCACCTGGGAGTTCAGTCCAGCAGGACCTCACAGGGAGACAGGGTGCTAGCAAGGAGCTCTGCAGGAGGGCAAGGTACCAGGGGAGGGCTGGCTATGGGGAGACCCAGGCTTTCTGCAATTTAGGGTCAGTGAGAGGATGGGTCACTGTTTCCATTAGGGAGCCTTGCTCTCCTTGGGAGGAGAGCACCTGAGAAGAGGCCTCATTCGAATGCATCTGGGACTCCTGTCCCCAGCAAATGTTCTTCCCCACCATCCTCTGTGGGAGAGGGAGCTGCACAAACCATTAGTTTATGGTCACCATCTCCCACAGTGCTCAAGGCATGAAAGTGCCCCTTGGAAGGAGGGCAGAGTTTGCAGGGCAGGGCTTGCTGGGTCCACGCGGGACGAGGCCAGGCTGTCCACAGCCGCTTTCTTGGCCTCATCCATGATTCCCTGAGCTGTTTTGTCCCACAGATCCATCAGAACAAAATCCCTGTTGACCAGACTCGAGTTCAGCTCCTTTCCCTCCCACAGGCCCTGAACCTGGACTCCCTCAGCCTGGGCCAGCCGGTGACTCCCCCGGGGAAGCTGATTTGCTGTTCCTCAGGCCTCCACACCACTCCCCACACAGGAACAAAGAACAAGGCTGAATTCTTTGCAAGCTTGTTCATACCCCCCATAAAAGAAAACTTTTGGCTGGGCGCGGTGGCTCACATCTGTAATCCCCACACTCTGGGAGGCCAAGGCAGTTGGATCACTTAAGATCAGGAGTTCGAGACCAGCCTGGCCAACATGGTGAAACCCTATCTCTACTAAAAAAAAAAAATTAAAAAAGTAGCCGGACACAGTGACATGCACGTGTAATCCCAGATACTCTGGAGGCTGAGGCAGGAGAATCACTTGAGCCTGGGAGGTAGAGGTTGCAGTGGGCTGGGATCGCACCATTGCACTCCAGCCCGGTGATAAATCTCCAGCTCAATTAAAAAAAAAAAAAAGAAAAAAAGGTGGGCACGGTGGCTCACACCTGCAATCCCAGCACTTTAGGTGGAGGCAGTGGTGGGCGGATCACCTGAGGTTGGGAGTTCAAGACCAGCCTGACTAACATGGAGAAACCCCATCTCTACTAAAAATACAAAATCAGCTGGGTGTGGTGGCACATGCCTATAATAATCCCAGCTACTCTGGAGGCTGAGGCAGGAGAATCACTTGGACCTGGGAGGTGGAGGTTGCGTTGAGCTGAGATCGTGCCATTGCACTCTAGCCTGGGCAACAAGAGCGAAACTCCGTCTTGAAAAAAAAAAAAAAGAATCTGGGTTGCCCGGCTGCTGTGGCTCACGCCTTGTAGTCCCAGCACTTAGGGAACCCCAGGCAGGCAGATCACTTGAACCCGGGAGTTTGAGACCAGCCTGGGCAACATAGCGAGACTCCATCTCTATGAAAAGTTTGAAAAATTAGTGTGGTGGTGCACACCTGTAGTCTCAGCTACTTGAGAGGCTGAGGCAGGAGGATCACTTGAGCCGGGAAGGTAGAGGCTGCCATGAGCTGAGACTGCACCTCTGCACTCCAGCCTGGGTGACAGAGCAAAACTCTGTCTCAAAAAAAAAAAAAAAAAGTCTAGGTTGGGTTTCGATTTTGACATTCCCCTGCCTGTGTCCACCTCCATCTACAGGGCTGGACAGAGCCCTGCCGCTCGGTCTCTGGGCACCTGTAACTGCTGGAGCCCAGAAGGGAGCCCCTCCCATCGTCCCACAGACCAGTGCCCCAGAGCCGCCACTCACTCACGGCCCCCGAGCTGAGATGGGGTGCTGGCTTCTTTTCATTTCTTCCACAGATATTGACCAGACTTTTGTTCGACCAGATCCTAGAACTGGGAGACCTGGCAGGGGACAGGGCAGATGAGGACCTGTCTTCAGGGACCCTCCCAGGGGGGTACCCATGGGTGACTACCCACACCAGGCTGGCAGAAGGCACCGTCAGGGCAGGTGTCTGACCATGCAGGGCAGCCTGGAGGGAGAGCAGGCCAGGTTGAGTGGGGCGTCTGCGTTTCTCTTCAGGGCGGGAGGAGCTCTTGTTCAGCAGGGCACTGAGGGATGAAGAACAAATCGGATTTGTTTTTCCGTGTGTTGGTTTTTGAGACGGAGTCTCACTCTGTGGCCCAGGCTGGAGTGCAGTGGTGAGATTGGCTCATCGCAATCTCCGCCTCCTGGGTTCAAGGAATTCTTTTGCCTTAGCCTCCCTAGTAGCTGGGATTACAGGTGTGAGCCATTCCACCTGACCCCAAATCAGGCTTTTTTTTTTTTTAAAGATGGGGTTTCACCATCATGGCCAGGCTGGTCTTGAACTGCTGACCTCAGGTGATCCACCCACCTCGGCCTCCCAAAGTGCTAGGATTACAGGCATGAGCCACCACGCCCGGCCCAAATCAGGCTTTTAAAGCAGTTGACTAGAAAAGGTTATAGCAGCACTGAGGGCTTTTGCAATGGGGGACCCCTGCTCCCACCTCAGGGTCTACAAGGAGCTCCAGGGTTAGCCAAAGGGATGTTTTTTTTTGAGACAGAGTCTTGCTCTGTCGCCCAGGCTGGAGTGCAGTGGCGTGATCTCAGCTCACTGCAACCTCCACCTACCTCCTGAGTTCAAGCGATTCTCCTGCCTCAGCCTCCTGAGTAGCTGTGATTACAGGCATGTGCCACCACAGCCCACTAATTTTGTATTTTTAGTGGAGATGAGGTTTTGCCATGTTGGCCAGGCTAAGTCTCAAACTCATCATAGGTAATCCACCCGCCTCTGCCTCTGAAAGCGCTGGGATTACGGGTGTGAGCCACCGTGCCTGGCCCGGGTTTTTTTTTTTTAATGGGGGGTGTGTACAAGGCTAGAATATGTGGGAGGAGTAGGGGTGGGGGCCTGAGGGGCAGTAGATAGAGAAGGTTCCATGGGCCAGCCCGGTCTCAGGGAGTGGGGAGTCACAGGTTGGCCCAGGCTGAGGGTCCCTGTCCTAGACCTGGGAGGAGAGCAGCTGAGCCGAGTTTGGTCAACAAGCGTTTTGTTCTACTGCACCCCTGGGGATCACTGGAGAAGCCAAGGGGACTCAGGGCCTGGGCTGGGCCTTGCCCTAGGTAGACCCGGGGTGGGGGCACCTCTGAATCTCACCCAAGTCACATGGGAAGGGTTTTCTCTGCACAAGCTGTTTCTGGAACACAGGGGTCGGGGTTTCTTAACCTTTGCTGTTTCCAGAAGCCCAGGGCTCTCTGAGTGCTACGGTGGCACCACACATCACAAAGGAGCTGCTTGGGTCAGGGCCGGGGGCCACTGGAGTGTCGTCAGGAAGGGGGAAGGGCCGAGGAGGCCGTGGCTGCTCACCACACTGGTGGCACCTGCGGGGCTGGCTTGCCCGTGGCTCCCAGCCCCACCCTCAGTTATCACTCAGCAGGTCCCAGGGAGTTCCCAGTTGCAGGTGAGTGAGGGCTGCTCCACCCAGTGACCTCGAGTGGCCGGTGTCAGGGGCTGGGGCAGCCAGAGTTTGAGTTCTCTTCTCCTTCCTGTGCCTCGACAAGTCCATCCCAATGGTCATGTCCCCAAAGGGGTGCGCACCTGCCAGGGCCATCCAAGGTCCCCAGCTCCAAAACTGCTTTCCAATTCCAGCCCCTTGGGACGGCCAGTTCTCCCACATTTGCCTTTGAATAGCACTGAGAGGCTTGGGCTTCAACTCCCAGCAGGGGAGGCATTATTAGAATGCACCTGAAACCTCCCAGAGCCCCGGGAGGTGGGCGGGCCCTTGCTGCCTGGGTGGTCACGGTAGAAGGCTTGCACAGGTCCGGGGCCAGGGCTCCAGGTGACCCCAGCTGCTGCACAGGCTCCCAGCTGCACCCCAGAACCCTCTGGCCCGCCGCTGGGAAAGGTCTCCCTGAAGGAAGGGCCCGATCCCCAGTCCCAGACCTCTTTGCTAACACCTCGTGGAGCTGACGGCTCACCCCACTGAGTTTATATTCCCAGCACCTGGAGCCCTCCCGTCCCTCAGCACCAGGTGGGACTCGGTGTCTCCAGGATCAGACTCAGCCTATGGGACCACTCAGGGCCTGTGACCCAAATCCCTGTCCCCCACCCCCTCTTCAGGTAGGATGAGAAGGCATAGGTCCTGGTAACAGGTGCCTCCACAGGTTCCAGGACGGGGCCCCACGGTTGCCCTCTGAGGCTTGGGGGTATCCTGGGAACCCAGAATCAGGGCTTCCTCTTTTCTTGCTGTGACCCCAGGCTGGAAAGGCTTCCTTCCTGACCTCCTAGGAGCTGGAGCCCTGCGTCCTCCCAGCGGGTGACCCCCAAGCCCTCCTCAACTTTGCCCCTGCAGCTCCCTGGGACTGAAACCTTCCCGTCCACCCTGTGGTCTCCACCTGAATGTCCCAGCCCCCCCACTCCCAAGGCAGATCACCCTGGAGGGGTTCGTGCTCACATGTGGGGCCTGTGCTGCCTGCCCATGGCTCACCCCCACCCGGTGGCCTCAGCGGGCTGTTGGTTGAATCAATGAATGAATGTGTGACAGTGGAAGGAATGGGGTGGCCAAGGGGGGGCTCAGGAACGTCCCCACACCCAGAACCCGGCGCTGAAGAAAAGAACACAGAAGAATGTCAGTCGTAGGATGATTCTGAGTGTTTCTTTAAAAACAAAACCCCACAAAAAAGCCAGAATGCCTTGCCCAGCCCAGCCCAATGTAACAGGTTAGCCATTAACACAAAATAAGACATCCCAGCCACACACATTACTCGGCAGAAGGTGTCCGGCCTGCTCGGCCGGCGTCACAGTGGATGGCCCTGCGTGGCTGGGACACAGACAGGGAGCAGGCGTGGCACCTGCACCACGCAGAGCAGCAAGGCTGAGCGAGACCACTGGAAATAAATAAACACGGTGCCGACAGCATCTTAAATGAATAAGATGTTAGCACAACACAAAAAAGCAAAACGACTGAAAAACGCTTGCTTGTCTTGGCGGGGTGGCTTTCAAACACCTGAGACCCACGAGTGGGAACCACTGTGGCATCTGTCAGTGGAGTATGGAGAGAGGGGGAAGGGAAAGTGAAGTCGTCTGAGACAGCCCCTATGGTGGCCCTGGCCCCCTGTGGAATTCCAGCACAGCAGGAGGGGGAGCGGGCACAGCCCCTGCCTTCTGAATTGGGGTCCCTGGGCTGGGTTGGGGGACACAGCACCAAGGATCACAGAGCGGACACCCCCCCATGACCTTCTGTGGAGTTCCTCCCCCTCACAACCCAGATGCCCGGGGGAGACTGTGCAGCCTGAAGAGGGACCGCAGCGGCTGCCGCTACTTTCCGCCAGACACGGGCAGCCCCCATGTTGCCCACAGCTGAGCAGCCAACAGGCAAGCGTGTCTCATGGACGGACAACTAGCTCCTGCTTCCTTAAGGCATGTCCACCTCCCAGAGCAGGAGGCTGCAACAGAATGGCATCCCAAGGCCCCTGCGGGGGGCAGAAAACGGCAGACACCCACACAGGCCCTGTCGGCCCCCATGGAAAGCTCCCAGTGGTGGGTGCGTCCAGGGAGCAGCTCCCCTGTCTCGAGGGCTGTGACTGCCTACGATGTTCACTGCCTCCTGGGTGCACACAACCGCCCCCCAGGCAGGCTGGGCACCAGCTGTTGGTATCTGTGGCCAAGAGAACAGGTCCGGAGGGACTGGGTGTTGTCTCATCCAAGAGTCAGTTCATCTGCCTGCTGGTCCTTGGCCTCCAGGCTGTGGGCTGATCCCTTGGGCCCCAGAAAAGATGCAGTTCCTATGAGCAGACACTGGCAGCCAGTCCACGTAAAGCTGGAAGCAACGGGGCAGGGGTGCCAGGGCTGGACGGGCCCCTGGGCTGTGGAATAAAGGTCTTCATTCCTCAAGCAGGAGAGATGGACATCTGGCCCGGGACCCCAAACTGTTCATCAGGTTTCTGTGGGCCCACTGGATGGTGAGGGGGTTGGTGCCTAGGCAGAGAGTGGCAGAGCTGGTGGCTTGAGCAAGCTGGTCAGTAAAGCTGTGTCCAGCCTGCTCCAGGGCCTTCTGGCTTGCGGGACTCGGGGCTGTGCCACAGGGCTGCTCGTCCAGCCACAGCTGAGCACTGGGGAGAAGCTGAGGAGGCAGAACCCCCCAGAGCTCAGGAGGGGCCTGGCAGGGTGGTCTCCTTGTTCTGTGGGCCCCTGGCTGCTTCCACAGAGGCAGAGACAGCTCAGGAAAGTGGGCCGAGTTGGCCAGGCCTCAGCTGCCCCCCCGCAGGGAAGAAACAGGAACGAGGAAAACACGGGCTGCTAGTTCCGCCTTTCCACGGGGGGTGAGGACCAAGTGCACGTCCAGGGGCCTCTGGACCCTGCAGGTCGCAGAGGTGAGCCGTGCTTGACACTATCTCCAGGACCAGGACAGGCAGTGAGGGTGACAGGCAGGGCGAGGAGGTGCCTCAGCCGGGAGCGGGAACCCAGCCCCAGACGTAAGGGGCTGCTGTGGGGTGCTGGGTGGAACTTTGGATCCTGAGGGCAGCAGCGACCTCGGGCTGGGGACGCTGCTGCGTGGGGCCCAGGGTGGGCGTGCACTGGCGTGCCTGGCCATGGTGTGCCTGCCTCGTCTCTGTTTCCAGAAGACTAAAATGCGAGGCTTCGTCTGCGTGAACCAGAGCTCGGCCTCCAAAACTGGACACGGAGGCCGCACTGCCCTAAGGCCAGGCCTGGGGAGCTGGCGGGGATGCCAGCATACCCACTCCCCAGGGCTGCTCACTGTCTCAGGGTGGTGTCTCAGGAGTCCCACAGGCCTGAAGCGCCTCCTGGGAGGACCCTGGAATCACCCACCTTGGATCGTTCACCTTGCCCAGCCCCCCACCTGCCCCACTCCAGGCACCTCCACCCTGGTGCCACTATGGCTGAGTTTCTGCTCTGCAAACCCTCACTGCAGTGGCCGTGTCTCTTCTGGGACTGGTGGGAGGCTCCTATTTTGGGTCTTTAAGGCAGAGACATAAGCCCACGGGGTGGTTTTCATGAATGTCACCGCATTTTTAACCATAAAAAAATAAAGAAGCCAAGCATGTGTGTGTGGGGCCGGCTACCTGGCTATCAGTGCAGGTCTGCGGTCACGATGAGGCTCCAAGTCTCAGTAGCTGTTTGCCCAGGGACAGTGATCTGGTCCCTGGCACATAGTGTGCGGGAGAAAAACGGGAGAAACGGGAAAAAGGAAGGCTCCTGCCCTCCGAGCCCCTTGAAACATCATCTTGTGGTGTCAACTTGACCCAGAATTTAAGTTAAAAAAGACAGACTTAAACAGAGGAGGGAAGGGAAAAGGGCCCAAGGAGACCGGAAGCCGCTCCTGGCAGGAGCACAGGCCCCGCCTGGGTCCCAGGGTGGACCTCACTTGAGGGACGAGACTCGTAGATTCGTACCAGTTTCCACAGCAGCCTTGGCTGCCTGGCCTGGGAGGGACAGCGAGGGACACTGGGTGTGCAGCTGAGCTGTGGATGGCGGGGAGCTGCAGTGGGCTCGGGGCTCTGCGCATGCTCCTCCGCAGTCTCTCGGCCTCCGGGCTACGTCTCCTGGGGCACCACCTGCATGAGCTTCTGACACACGACGGTTGTGGAGACTGTCAGGAGAGAAGACTGCCGTGTTAGCCAGGGGGCTGGGTGGCACCCTGGGACATGGGGGCGTGAGTTGGGGCTCCCCCAGCCCTGTCACCAAACCCAGGGCCACCATCTCTCCTGAAATAGCAGAGAAGCCAGAGCCAGGATTTTAAGGAAGCCTGCTGACTTGAGCACGTGGATATGGGGTGTGCGAGGCACTGCCTGCTGCTGAGATGCACAAGTGTGGCACCTGCTCCAGAACCCTGGGGAGGGAGGGGGAGCACGGCCTGCGGAGCACACAACCCAGGCCCTGGGGTCTTGGCAAAGCACAATGGGGAGACGACGGGCCTTCCTGCCGGGCCGTGCCAGGGACGCAACCTGGACCTAACACCCAGACCGCCAGGCTGCCCTGCAGGAAAAGCTGGAGGAGCCAAGTCTGCTAAGGGGTCCGTAGGCAGACCCGTCACACCCGGGACTTTCTAGAGTGTCAGGATAGAGACGGGGTTTTGTTTTAAGCTCTTGGTGTCCTGAATGACTTTTAAAAGCCACCTAGTGACATGGTGATGAGCGTTAGGGCCCGCAGGCACCCTGGCCTTTTTCTAGGAACATGGCCACATTTGCAGGCTCTAAGGAGGGGTCCTAAGCTGGCAAAGCACCCCCAGGGCTGCTGCTGCAGAGAGTACCCTAGAGGGGTTTGTTCTACTGCCCCCCCCCGCCCTTTTTTGAGATGGAGTCTTGCTCTGTCACCCAGGCTGAAGTGCAATGGTGGGAGCTTGGCTCACTGCAACCTCGAGCTCCCAGGTTCAAGCAATTCTCCTGCCTCAGCCTCCTGAGTAGATTGGATTTCAGGTGACCCCATGCCCAGCTAATTTATTTATTTTTAGTAGAGATGGGGTTTTACCATGTTGGTCAGCTTGGTCTCCAACTCCTGACCTCAAGTGATCCGCCTGCCTCAGCCTCCCAAAGCGCTGGGACTACAGATGTGAGCCACCACGCCCGGCCTCCCCCTGCCTTGCTGGGTAAATCTGCTGTGGCAGCCCGCAGGATTTTGTTACTTGGCTGCAGTAGCCTAATTTCTGGAATCCCTCGTCCTAAGAGATCAGCTGCTGCTGCGCTAAGTGTCTTATCCCTGAAACACGTGGGCCGTGAGTCACGGGCGGGCAGTGCAGTGACCCGAACCCTCCTGCCACCCAGCATGCTTGGACCATGTGGGTGGAGATGGCCGATGTCTCTCAAGCCCCTTCGCTGCCCCAGGCAGAGGGTACCACGGGCTATGGGCCAGCGAGACACTCACAGATGCCCTGGAGAAGCCACTTGGGCTTGTTTTTCCACCAGACCCCTAAGAAGTAGACGGGCAGCCCGCTGAGGATGATGGTGAAGCCGATGCCACACTCCACAGGGGTCTTCCAGAAGGAGACGGCGATCAGGAAGAGGCAGGCCAGGATGAAGAACACGGGCAGGGCCAGGTTCACCTGCGGAAGAGGACGGAACCTGGCTGAGCTCTGCGGCTGTGTTGGAGCCCCTCCCGGCCAGCCTCCCTCTCCCAGCCCCAAGGTTCTTCAGCCTTTCTGGGCCTTCCACACCCACTCGCTGCTGACTTCCAGGTCACCAGAATGTGACCTGCACCCCGTCTGCCTCACACACAGTGCTACCTGCCCCTCCCTGGACTCTGCACACAGTGCTAGGCCGGTTGCCCAAGGCTCAGTTGGCTGCTGCTGCAGGACGGAAGGGACCGGCTCTGTCTCCGGAGGCATCCCATGGGCAGGGAAGGTCACGGTTCCACTCCCATGCCCCAGGCCTGGGAACCCTGAGCTTTCAGGAGGTGTAGGGACCTGACGCTTCCAGGAGACTGCCCTCTTGGAGACCCTGCTGTGGACAGGGCTGAGCAAAAGCCCATCCCTGAGGCTGCAGCCTAAGCCGTCACCTTGAGCAGATGAACTCCACCCGGCAGAGAACCCAGGCAGGGCTTCAAGGAACCTGCAGGCCCAGCCCGTGACCTGCTGCTGGGCATGGCTGTGGGACTCAGCTGTCCCGAATGCATACTCAAACAGGCCACCCTGGGAGACGCAGAGCTGACCACGGGTCCCATCAGTGCAGGCTGCATGGCTGCCCTGTCCCCAGGGAACAGATGTCCACCCTGTGCCCAGGCTCACAGTGGGCAGAGCCTATCCCGTGCCCAGGTCTCCATGGAAGCTGAGCCACTGCCATGGCCAGTGACTGCCTTGTGCCACCTCTCCTGGGCCAGGCTGGGCCTTCTACTGGCTCCTGCTCCGAGGCCCTGTGGCCAGGTTGGCATGGCAGGCACAAGCTGGTGCCCAGGATGGGCGGCTCCCTCCTTGCCCTACACAGTCTTCCTTCAGAGCTGCATCTGGGTTCTTGTTCTGGCCATATTTTAAAGCCCTTGTTAAACAGCGTTCACAGGACTCCCACTGGGCCCCAGGAACACAGGGGGCGAGGTGGCCCCAGCAGGGGAGCGGGGCTCCCGTGACAGACATATGACAGCTGAGTGACGAGCTGCTGGCCAGCAGCCACCAGGGGCTCTGTGCTCTCATCCTGTGTCAGGGCCAGGGTGGCAGGGCTTGCTGGGTCCTGGGCGGGGGGAGCATGGCCTCCGAGGGACGGCCCCCTTTTGGAGAAAGCAGCTCGGTGACAACAGCTGCCCCTCTGCAAGGAGCTGCTGGGGACGGGGAGAGCCCAGCTGGGCCCAGGAGTTCCTAGGGCCAGGCACCCCACACTGTGCACTGCACCCCCCAGCACAACCGACCACCCTGTGAATGCTGCGCCAGGCCCTGCGGGTTTACGCAATGTCCTTATCTGCTTCCCTTCACTCAAGGGAGCTCTGTCCATCTGCTGTCCTTTGAGGAACCCCAGCTCCTTGTCAACGGTCAACACCGGAATTAGGTGACCCCCGTGTCTGCTACAGAAGCACAAGCAGACAGCCTCATGCCCCTCCCACCGGGACCCCCTGCAAAGTAAGCCCTGGTTTAGCTTGATGGGGACGTGGCCTGGCGCAGGTGCACACAGGCAGGTGCAGGTCCAGAGGCTGAGCTGGGATGCCGGCTCCCGACCTCGGGTCCTCAAACCCTCGGACCCTGCCTCTGTGAGGGCAGCTGGGTGAGCGGGAGCCCAGACTCACCTTGATGGGCCGCTCCAGCTCAGGCTTTCTGTAGCGCAGCCAGATCATGCCGATGATGGCCAGGGCCACGCAGAGCCAGTTGAAGAAGCTGAAGAAGTTGATGACGGAGAAGATGTCCTTGGAGAAGGCGTAGAGCAGCGTCATCACGCACTGCAAGAGAGGCGGCCGCTGAGCCCGGGCGGGAGGTGACGGAGGCCACTGGGGACTGCCTAGTCTGGCTGTGCCCAGCTGAGCACACTTGCAGGTCTTTTGTTTTAAGAGAAACCTCATCTGAGCACGAGGTCTTGAAGGAGGGAAGGAGAGAGGGAGGAGAGGAGAGAGGGGGAAGAGGGAGGGGAAGAGGGAGGAGGGACGGAAGAAGGGAGGGAAAAGAGGAGGGAGGGGGACGCGGGAGGGGAGGACGCCGGAGGGAGTGGAAGAAAAGGAGACCACATCTGGGTTTCAAGGACAGGTGAGGAGCACAGTATGCATTTGCAGCTGGGCCCCTGGACTGCAGCTGTGTGAGGCCACAATGCGACCTAACCCAGCATCCATCAAGAGGACAGTTTCCACAGCCCCCAGTGCAGCTGTCAAAACAGTCCTCACAGATGCTCCAGGGAGCCCAGAACTGTGGGCTGCTCTCCCTCCAGCTCCCCAGGCACACTGCACTTCCCAACTCGTTTCCAACACCGGAGAAGCAAGGGCCAGGACCTGAGGCCAGCCCACAGGAGGCACTGCAGCTTCCTCTGCCTCTGCTGCTCTCACTGGCTCTGGGGGAAGCAGCTGTGTCAGTGGCCTCTCCAGCCCTGGTCACACCCTCAGATGAGACTACAGCCCCAGGAACCAGCGCCCTGAATTCTTGACTCATGGGAACTGTGAGACAATAAGCGCTTTTCCTTTCAGACCACGACGCTTTTGAGCGATTTGTGACACAGCAACAGGGAACTGGGGCAATCCCAGGGGCCGGCACAGGGAGCCGCAGGAGTGGAAGGACAGGGCGTGACGCGCCCGCTAGAGAAAGCGACACTGGCAGGCAGTGCCTGCGGAGGCAGAGGTGGAGTGAGCAGGCGGCAGGCAGGCAGCAGCCTAGCTGTGCTGGAGCTTTGTCTCTCACATTTCTGACGGTCTGAACTGCTGGTGGCAGCCACCATATGCTATTTTGGGATAAAAATCTAAAGCCCCTCCAGCACTCTCTGGCAGTCGGCGGAGCTCGGCAGGAGGAAACATTCCGCTGTGTCTCCAGGCCACATGTGAGCTGCCACCCGGTCCACACCCCAGACAAAGTTGCAAGCTGTGGCAGCCTCCTCTGGGGAGCCCTGGACAACCCCCAGGGATGCAGGCGCGGGGCTGTGTGGCAGTCTTACCGTGAACACAAGGGATGGCATGGGGGTGAGGAGCTGTGGGTGGATCATGGAGAGGATTGAGGGCAGGTGGCCTTCCCGGGACCCCACAAAGAAGAGCCTGTGGACAGAGTGGAGAGGCAGTCAGCCATCACCTCACTACCCAGGACAGACGAGGACGTGGCATGCTGGGAGTGGACGGGGCCTGTGCCTGGCTTGTCTGGGCCTCTCGCGAGAGTGGGGAACAGAACCCTCTGGCTTCTGGCTGTGGGCCTCTCTGTGTCCCCAAACAACTCGGCTAGCAAGGACAGAAACTCCAGTCCCAGGGGGTCAACAGGTGGCAACAGGGCACCTAGGACACCACAGCTGGCCTCTGGGCAGGGGTGGGAGGCGAGGGGCAAAGTTCACGCTTCCTTTGTTTTTTTGAGATAGGACCTCACTCTGTCACCCAGGGTGGAGGGCAGAGGCACCAACTGGGCTCGCTGCAGCCTCGACTTTCCAGGCTCAAGCAATCCCCCCACCTCAGCCCCCCAGGTAGCTGGGACTACGGGCATGTGCCACCACCCCAACTAATTTTTGTATATTTTTGTAGAGATGAGGTTTTGCCATGTTGCTCAGGCTGGTCTCAAACACCTGAGCTCAAGCGATCTGCCCACTGGGGCCTCCCAAAGTGCTGAGATTACGGGCCTGAGCCACAGCGCCCGGCCTGTTTGAGCTTTAACAAGGCATCCCCGGTTTCAGAGGCAAACCTTTCACAGACACAGAGAATGCTGAACCTGGCCCTGAGGCCTGGGCCTCCCTCACCTGTAGGGGGTCGGGCTGCACTCACCTGGAGGACGTGAACAGGGACCCATTGACTGAGCCGAAGCAAGACAGGCCCACGAAGACGGGGATGATCCAGGACATGACGCCCAGGTGATAGTTTCCGAAGTCCTAGGCAGACACAGAGTGAGCTGGGCCCCGCCGGGCGGGCCCTTGGCCCTTCCCGCCCTCGCCAAGAGCCCTCTGCAGAGGAGAACCTCTCAGGCTGGATTCTGGCCTCTGGGGGGACTTCTGTCTGCACGGCCTGCTTGTATGGGAGCCCTTGTGGGCCCAGATCTCCCCACTCCCCTGGGACTCCTCGGAGCAAGCTGTGGCCTCCATGTGGGGATTCTGCCCTCCCCATCTGGGGTCCTTCACAGGCCCAGCATGGTGCTCGGTGGGTGGTGGGCGGTGGGCTGGGAGTCAGAGCTCCCACTCCCTGTTCCCTTGGCTGGGAGGGCAGTGGGAGGAGCCTCAGAAGCTGCCCAACAGCCGTGCCCAGGCCTGGCCTCCGTCCCGCCGAGCCAGCAGCAGCCACACCTTCCAGCAAACCCCAGTCTGCAGCAGACACCAACTTTTCAATACTCAGATTTAAAATGACCGCTGCCCTGAGTCCCCTAGGCATTCTGGCTTATAGCTGGTTCTGGGTGTGGCCTGGAATCAGACTTTAAACCCCCTCTCCCCTGCAATCTGAGGACGATCCCCAGACATTCCCTCTGCGGTCATCGTGAGAGGAGACCCATAACCACCGCTCCGGCCCTCCAGGTAGGGGAGGCTTGGAGATGCGGGGCACCCCTCTGGTCTGGAGGCCCCTCAGGGCCCTGGTGGAAGCTGGCGGGTCGCAGCTCACCACAGCCACGGCCTCCGACGACAGCATCTGCTCCGTGGACAGGGTGGTGAAGTAGGCCAGGTTGGTCAGCACGTATACCAGCGTCACGATGGGGAGGGAGATGATGATGGCCAGGGGCAGGTTTCTGGAAGGAACATGGGCGACACATCACTCAGGGCAGCCTGGGCTGAAGGCCAAACCCCATGGCCAGGAGCCAGGCGGGCACCCCACCACCAGCAGCTCTGGCCTCTGTGCCTGGCTTCTCGAGGAAGGCAGGAAGCACTGAGATAGCACAGGCTGGGCAGGAGGCTGGGCCTGGAGGGGGGACCTGCAGAGGCCTGGCTGGTGCCTTGGCTGCAGGCCTCAGCTTTCCCACCTGAGAAATGGGGATTCTTCTGGGTGACCACAAGGGCTCGGGAGAGCTACGTCAGGTGGCCGGGGCTCACTCCTAACGCCTGCTCACAAGCTGCCAGGCCAGGGAGCAGAACCCAGAGCCTGAGCAGCTCCTCTGGACCGTCCTGCCCTGAATGGGGGCCTCAGCTGTCACCTCTTCTCTGGGGAAACCTTGCCACCACCCCCATATCCTGCTGGCCCCCCAGGCCCCAATCATAGCTCTCCTGAGAGCAGGCCGGAGCTGACCAACAGGCTTCTAGTGGAGTGTGGCTGCCCCGTCTCACATTCAAATAATGAAAAAAGATGACTCAGAGCCGTTGTGCTCTTGGGCGCCAAGATGTCATTCTCAAAACATACTCTGTCGCACCTGGACACTTTGCCCCCAACCCTTGACCCAGCTGAATATGACATCTCTGGCAACGCGGCGGGCACCAGTCCAATAGTTGGCCTTAAGAACCGGCTGAGGCTGGGCGCGGTGGCTCACGCCTGTAATCCCAACACTTTGGGAGGCTGAGGCGGGTGGATCACGAGGTCAGAAGTTCGAGAGCAGCCTGGCCAATATGGTGAAACACCGTCTCTACTAAAAATACAAAAATTAGCCAGGAGTGGTCTGTGTGCGCCTGTAGTCCCTGCTACTCAGGAGGCTGAGGCAGAAGAACTGCATAAATGCAGGAGGCAGAGGTTGCAGTGAGTCGAGGCTGTGCCACTGCACTGCAGCCTGGATGACAGAGCAGGACTCCATCTTAAAAAAAGAGCCAGGCTAAACTGAGCCCCTGCTTCAGTACGACGACCCCAACTGCCGAGGGGACTCAAAGACCCTGCCTGGATTCATGGGACCGAAGCATGATCAGCGACGTCTGTCCTAACTGCAGACCCACTCCTAAACTCACTCCTGGGAGCTCTGTGTGGATCTGGGACCCTCTTCTTCTGGGATCACGTTCTCAAAACCGACAGGGACAGGAAAGAAGATTGTATCCGGGAAGGAACATTGGACCAGACACTTCACCTCTCACATCAGGTCTGGCAACGATGACACACGTATTCCTGTCTAAACACATCGTCTATTAATTTAAAAAAAACACAACTCCGCCCACGTACCTGTAGGGGTTGATCATTTCCTCCGTGACAAAATTCAAGTAATTCCTAAAATTTAGAGAACAGTATTTCATTGTCTGATCCTCAATACAGAAAAGAAATCTCGGAGGGGAGAGCACCCCGGGCTGGCTGATGAGACCCCTGCCCCAGCAGGCTGCTCGCTGGGCTGGAAAGCGGACCTGGAGCGGGAGCTCAGCCTCCTGTCTGCTTTGGGGGTCCCTGCCACGCTTCCCAGGCCTCCTGCATGCTCCCTGCCCACTCGCCCACAGGGGTGATTCTCAGGTTATGGTGAGGCCCGCCTGAGCGCAGGAGCCGGGCTGCGGACCTGAAGGGGAGCAGCTGCAGGGCTCAGCGGCCTCCACGTGCTGCCTTTGCCGTGGCCGAGATGCAGAACTGGAGCCAGGGCGGGGCTGCAGCAGGCAGCCTCCCCACACTTCCTAGGAATGCGGGTGACTCTGGGGGGTCACCTGCCACTCTGTACCGTCCACTCCCTTTAACCACTCCTAGATGACTGGGAGGTTTGGGATTCCTGGACCCATCAGGGACCAAGGTCCCTTGTATCCCCAGACCAAGGGACCTAGACATTCCAGAACCTACCATCCTCCGTAGGCAAAGAGGCCGCTGTACAGAGCCAGCACGATGTTCCCCACATCCAGTTTGGTGCCTTCAAATGAGAACTTGGGATCTAGATTGGACACATCACCTGGCAGAGGCCAGAGAGAAAGGAATGCTGGGTTAGAGAGCGCTGCGCGGTCAGCCTGAACATTACCGTAGCAAACCTGCTGGGTGAACGGTCTTCTCTGCGGCCAGTAAATGGGATGCACCTGCTGAGCCACACGGAGGCTGCGGAGTTCCAACTATAACGGGAGGAAGGTGGCCCCACCGGAGGCCCTGCGCCCACCTGAGAGAGGACAGGCAGCTCTGACCACTGCCCAGGAGGGCCTTTCAGACGCTCGTCTACAGGAGGGTAGGAGGGAGGGGTCAAGCAGCCCCAGCAGACTTCAAGAACGTTCTGTGAGACCTCATGACATGGGTGTCAAGGTGGTACACGAAGGCAGGGGACCTGGGTTTGCATCCCGGCTGCGGCACCAAGGAAGGCCCAGAGGCACCAGGCCCCTGCTTCTCCAGGCGTGAGGAGCTTGGAACAGACCCTCTCCCCCTGGGCTAGCAGGAAAGGCCTGGGGAACACAGGTCCATCCTGGACTGCGGTAAGCGTGCAGCCTGCTGGGTCCGAGGACGAGCCCTGTACTCCCGTGGGCAGTGCCTTCTCCTTTGCTCTCTGAGGACACGTGCCACTGGACTTCGTGACTGGCCCACCCTATCCCAGGGGGACCTCATTGCAAAACGTGGACCTCAGTCACATCTACAAAGACCCTTTTTCCAAATAAGGCCACCAGCATTTATTGGTTCCCCAGGAAGATGTGTCTTTGGGGGGCCAGGAAATAAACACCACAGAAGGGCTGTCTCTGGAAGGTCACCTGGCTGCTCAGACAGCTCTGGCCCTCTCTGTGGCTGTCACCTCCCCTGTGAAATGGGCCCGGAATACATCGCCTGGCCGCAAGTCACTCAGGTCACTCGCCCCATGGGGTTTTCGTTCCTGGCTCGCAGGGCTCTGGCGGTGGCACAGACACCTGTCTGACAGATGACCGTGCTCAGGAACAACTTCAAAATGAGACCAAAGACACCTCCGGGACAGAGGAGCTGGGTCACCCCCGCCCACCCGCCAGGTGTGTACAGAGCTGGAAGCACAAGTTGAATCTTGGTCAGGTGGTGAACTGTCCAGGCAGGGGCAGGCCCCAGGGCTGCTGTGTCCTACCATGTGGCCTTGACCACAGGTCACCATGCAGGCCCAAGAAGGAGAACCGCCTCAGTTGCCCAGTGAACACTGCAGAGCAAGCAGGAGAGGACGCTTCAAAGGGGAACCAAAGAGAAGTTCCCATAAAACCTTGGCAATGACCACACACGAAGTGCACTTCAAAGGTGGCACCGGATTTCCTACAGCAGAGCCCACATGGGGTCCCTTCCTGATGGGTGGACCCGGTTCCTGTGGCGCGCTTGCTTCCCCGAGGCGTGCAGGATGCCTGCGGCTCTGGCCCCAGCTCTGTCTGTCCCGGATGCCAGGTGCGCCCGGCCCAGGCCTTTGATCTTTCAGCCTGAGCTGGGGATGCTGGTGGGTTCCCCGAGGCCTTGATCTCCCGAGAAGAATGAGCTCCGGGGCCACCACCCGCATGTGATATGTTCCGGGTCCTGGTCACAGGGTGGTCAGCAGGCAGGGCTGGACCGGCTCAGGACAGGGCATTTTCCACAGCAGCTCGGCCAAGACGCCCACAGCCCCTCTGGCCTCCCTCCCATCTGCTCTCTGACGGAACATTCTGGAATGTGCAGACCTTCACATCTGCAGAGCCCCACTGTGTCCTGCCCACTTACTTCTGCTGTGTGTGTGGGGAGCGGGGGCATCTGTCCTGAAAGTGGGGAAACAGGCACATAAGGACCTGCCAGGCACTTGAGAATCCAGGTCCCACCGCCCCTACCTGGCACTCACACTGGGAGGGGGTGAAGGTGATTGCTGGAGGCCAGAAACATGCCCCGTTCACTGTGACGCCCCCCAGCCCCAGCCTGGGCTGATGGAAAGGAGGTCTCAGAGCACAGTCCCCACCACACACATCAATCCCCATGACGGGAGAGGTGGCTGGCTACCACACAGAGGGTGGCTGCTTCTGCCAAGAACAATACATGGAGGCTTCACACAGTGAGGTCTTCAGGTGGGGGCCAGACACCTGCAGCCCCAAGTCCTGGGTTACTTTTTTTTTTTTTTGAGACAGGGTTCCACCACGCCCAGCTAATTTTTGTATTTTCAGTAGAGACGGGGTTTTACCATGTTGCCCAGGCTAGTCTCGAACTCCTGGCCTGAGGTGATCCACCCGCCTCGGCCTCCCAAAGTGTTGGGATTGCAGGTGTGAGCACTGTGCTGGGCCAGGCCTGGGTAACTTCCACTCGGTGGTCAGTCGTTTCTAGGACTCCAGCACTGGGGACGGAGCACCTGTCACACGATGGCATTCCCTGGGGTTCACAGCTCCATGCTGCAGCCTCTGAAACTTCCACGAAAATCAGTACTAGCTGCTCTGACCAAGCACAGACTCGCGCCATTGCACTCCAGACTGGGCAGCAAGAGTGAAACTCCGTCTGAAGAAAAACAAAAAGCCGGGCACGGTGGCTCACGCCTGTAATCCCAGCACTTTGGGAGGCTGAGGCGGGCGGATCATGATGTCAGGGGTTCGAGACCAGCCTGACCAACATGGTGAAATCCCATCTCTACTTAAAAACACAAAAATTAGCTGGGCATCGTGGCGCACACCTGTAATCCCAGGTACTTGGGAGGCTGAGAAAGGAGAATTGCTTGAGCCCGGGAGGTGGAGGTTACAGTGAGCCAAGAGCCAGCCACTGCACTCCAGCCTGGGTGACAGAATGAGACTCCATCTAAAAAAAAAAAAAAATCATCCCCTGGCCAGGAATAGTGCCTCACATCTGTAGATCTAGTACTTTGGGAGGCTGAGACCAGCCTGGGAAACATGGCCAAACGCTGTTTCTACAAAAAATACAAAAACTCGACATGTATGGTGGTGCATGCCCATAGTCTCAGCTATTTGGGAGGCTGAGGTGGGAGGATAACCTGAGCCCGGGAGACAGAGGATGCAGTGAGATCCAGCCATTACACTCCAGCCTGGACGAGAGGCTCCAGCAGGGGAGACTCAGCCAGCCCCCTCTCCAGCCACCTGTGTGGCTTCCATTCTTAGGACAGTGTGGCCAGGACTGTCCTGCTGGAACCCTCTGGGTGGGAGGCTGTCCAGGGCCTCTCTCTGCCAAGCGCCTAAGGTCCTGGAGGACAGTGGATGTGCACGGAAAGATGGTATCCCCCAACATCACAGCTTTGGGTGCGACCCACTCCTCACCCCGCATGGGTGATGGCAGGAAGGCAGAGGTTCAGCTTTTTAGGACTCCAGTCAAGCCACCCCAAGCGCCTCTAAGCTGCCTGCCTACCATGGACACAGGACGTCCCTCCCGCTGACCAGGGACAGGGCGTGGGGTACAAGCGGGGATCTGGCCTCAGCAGAGCTGTGGGGTTTGCCAGCCCTGGACTCTGCCAGATGTTGGCTCAGGACTCAGGTGGCTTTGTTGGACACCTGACCAGAGGCCACCTCTCTCTCCATGGGTGCCACGTCTACTGGCCCATAGTGGCGATTCAGCCTGGATCCTTCAGAGCTGTCCCTGGGGCCAGGGCTGACACAGCCTGATCAGGCTTGGGGGTGACACCCTGGGGCTCTGCCTGCCTCCAGCAGTCCTGCTCTGACAGCAGCTCTGCTTTAGGGTGGCCTGGAGGGTGGCAGGAGGGACCTGCCTGCAGTCCAGGGCAGCTGGACGCAGAGAGGTCACCACACTCATCCGCTGACACCACCAGCTGCTGTGCCAGGCTCCTGGATACACGCAGGGGGAGGAGGTGGAATTGGGATTTAGAGTATTCAAACCCTGGGGGCAGTGCCCCTGCACCTCCTCAGTGTGACCAGGGGACATTCTGCATGCCGGGAGATGTGGGGTTGTCTCGATGGCGGGGTGGGGTGCCACTGGCACGGAGTGGTGGAGGCTGGGGATGCTTCTGGATTTCCTGCAATGCACAGAACGTCCTCACCCCCAACAGAGGGCCCACGACAGCAGCCACGCCAGGCCGAGACGCCGTGCGAGAAGGCGAGACAAGACGGGCTCCTCTCGGCCTTCTCTCCCACCAGCCCTAGACTTGGACTCGATCCCTGCTTCAGTATAAAGCGCCAGGCGCTGGGCTGGATGGGAGGAATGACCGAGTGACCCACTCATCCCACAGCCACGAGCCTCCACACCTGGATTCTGTGCTCTCCGATCGGCCTCCACCCACAAGGAGGGGACAGCGTGGCCGAAAAGACAGCGAGGAAGAGAATCGCTGTGGACAGATGGAAGGAGTGACGTTTGCAAGAGCCCCCAGAGATGTGAGGACAGGCTCAGCGCAAAGCTGACGAGTGGGCCCTCCAGCCCCTTGCTTGTTCCCAAAAGGCATGCTCCTCAGGGGCTGGGGGTGCTGTCGTGAGAGCGAATGCACAGCCAGGCCCTGGGAGAGCAGGCAAATTGCAAAGGCCATGGTGACCCTGGGACCCAAGCACAGCAGCCTCGTCCCTGGATCGACTTCCCTTGAGAATGGGGTAACTGGGGTGGGAGAGCTCGAAAGGCCCTGGGGAGATGATTTCAGGGAAAAGCGGGCCTTGACCCCTGAGTCAGGCAGATGCAGCCATGGGAACCATCCACCCCGAGGCTGGAGGGGGAGAGCAGAAGGCATCGGCTGACGGAGCCTGGGGGTGACCACCGTGGCCAAATGCATGTGGAACAGATGGAGAGCCTGACCCCTCCCTTCCTCCGTGAGGTGGCCAACCCGGGGGCTCCTGACTCAGAGGGATACACAGCCACTGTGTCCCTGAAGAGCCTGCCCAGCCCAGGGAACATGGAACTGTGTAGAGGGTGGACGTCAACCTTGGGGCTGACAGGGCCCTCGCCTGCCCAGGAAACCCCTCCAGGGACAAGCCAGTCACTCCTCAAGTTGGGACCTCTGCTGTGCTGGAGCCTCCCACCTTCCGGCCACTTTGCCCCTCGGGGCTCTACGTGGAGTGTGTTGAACAGGGTCCC